TGTGCTACAAATGTTACAGACACATATTAATGTGCTACGAATGTTACATACACATATTTATGTGCTACAAATGTTACAGACACATATTAATGTGCTACGAATGTTACAGACACATATTTATGTACTACGAATGTTACAGACAAATATTTATGTGCCACGAATGTTACAGACAAATATTTATGTACTACAAATGTTACAGACACATATTTATGTACTACAAATGTTACAGACACATATTTATGTACTACAAATGTTATATATACATATTTATGTACTACGAATGTTGTATACACATATTTATGTACTACAAATGTTACAGACACATATTAATGTGCTACGAATGTTAGATACATATTTATGTACTACGAATGTTACAGACAAATATTTATGTGCTACGAATGTTGTATACACATATTTATGTACTACAAATGTTACAGACACATATTAATGTGCTACGAATGCTATATATACATATTTATGTACTATGAATGTTGCAACATTACAAAATTTCATGGAAAGAGCTTGTAATCTCACTAGCATTTTTTACAAATAATGAAGCCTGGCATGGCCAGGTGGCTAGGGCGCTCATCTAGCAATCTGCGGGTCATGGGTTTGAATCCACATTCCACCAAACATGTTTGCTCTTTTAGCTGTGAGGACATTATAATGTAAAGGTCAGTTCCACTATTCGTTGATAAAATAGTAGCCCAAGAGTTGGTGGTGGGTGATGATGACTAGATGTCTTCTCTCTAGTCTTTCACTGATAAATTAGGGACGGCTAGTGCAGATAGCCATCGTGTAGCTTTGCATGAAATTTAAAACAAACTAAACTGAAAATATTTGCAAGAACTTGCATGTATTTTATTATTACTTTGATTTATAAAGAAGCTTGATACAATGTTTCAGTTTACTACTGATTTTTTTTTGTCTTAGCCTTTATTATCTGGATCAGTTTTAAGAGGAAACAAAACTCCTAATGATTTCTGTTGATTGCATATTTAATAAACAGAACTTTTATTGAGCTAGTGCTACCTTTTAATATATATAACTATGTTGCATAGCATAAAACCTTCACTAGTCTTATATTGAAAAACACTACTTCAATCCATGACTGTTGGGGAATATCTAGAAACATAGGAGTTATATGTGACCATATTTTATTTTACTTAATATCTTTTATCTTTTAAAGGATTATCTTGGTGGGATCATCTTGTTCATAGCCACAGTGTCAACATTAACGATTGCTATTTACGGTTATGTGACTCCTGCGTTTCTGGGATTAGCCTTGAACTACACTCTTCTTGTAAGTCTTAGTTTGCGAAAAGATGAAAGGATATATTTCTGTATGTATAATTTTTAAAATTCCAAGAACATTTCTAAAATTGTACCATTATAGTTGAGTACCATATCTAAATTAACATAATATTTGTATAGTTGAGCTATATGTATATATATACAATCATTAAACAGTTGGTCCACTGTTTACTACCGAATATTGAGTTTGACAAAAAGGTTATAACATTCACATATCTAAATTAATTTAGGTTACTACATGGTAAAGTAAAATGGATTCAAAATCCCATAACTATTATATACACTTCACTATTATAAGAGGCCTAACTGTATTTCTTTGGTTTGCTGACCCAATCTGTGATGATGAGCCTTGAATAGGTGAAACTACAGTCCACAGTAGAGGATACGGCCTACCAAAGAAAACATTAGGCCTCTATGTCACAGATTCTCTTTTCAGTTTCACCTCTGGTGATAAACCTTTAACAATTTGATGATTATTGTTTGTAAGGTAACATTATTGTTGAGTATTGTGTCTAAGGTAACATTATTGTTGAGTATTGTGTCTAAGGTAACATTATTGTTGAGTATTGTGTCTAAGGCAACATTATTGTTGAGTGTTCTTTCTAAAGTAACATTATTGTTGAGTGTTCTTTCTAAAGTAACAGTATTGTTGAGTATTGCTTCTAAAATAATAATCATTGTTTTCATTATTCATAGTACAATAGCTAATAGAGGGTGTCATAACGGTTCATATAATATCTATATGAAACTCTGTATGAAATTTTGAGAAAGTGTTTCTTTATATAACTGTTTTATGTTATAATGAAAATATTTATTATGGCCAAAGTCTTTTCTGTTAAAAGAAATATAGTCAAATCTGTATGAGTTTTAATAACTTACATAGCATTTCATGAGTATTGTATTTTTGAATAGTACCTGTGCATACTAAAGTACACAAGATTAATTAAGAGTTTATAGAAAGTATTTTTTGTTATTTTAAAAGTGAAACATATTGATGGAAATCGTTCCATGTTTTGCATGATGTCAGGTTCCCATCTATTTAAACTGGGTGGTACGTAACATGGCCAGCGTTGAAATGTACATGTCGGCAGTGGAACGAGTGGACGGGTATTCCCGGTTACCGACTGAGAGTTATGGGGAAGAAGACGCAGGTGGGGTTTCACTTTTCTACATTTGATGTACCACAACACGTACCTTGATTATTTTATTTCTTGTAATTCCATGTTATTAACAATTTTACAGCAATATAATTTGAGAAAACAGATGACTGTCTCTCCGTCAGGGTTGCACTTAGCTGAGCCAGACTTTTTGTAATGGTTGGATCTACATAGACCTATCTAGATCACGGTCATTCAGTTGGTTAAAAATTTGTCCTAGAAGGAGTAATTATTGAAAATGTTGCTTACAAGAAAGGTTTTATAATCGACTTTTCTAATGGCAATTCAGTAGGTCTTAGTTTTATACCATGGCTTGAAACACCACAACTCTATATATTTTGTTGAATTTCGAGACGTTCTTCTAGTTATTGCATAAGATGATTGTAGAACACACACGAAAATGTTTTACTAATCCAGATCACAGTACAGATCTACGGGATATCCCAAAAAAATCACTGCTTTACACTGAACGTCTATAATGTTTTCAGAATGTCCACCCTTAAAATTGATATAGTACCGAAGACATTTAGTCCAGATCACCTCCAATTTTTCTTTAGTGCCTTTATCCAAAAGATCTGCAAAGAAACAATAAAAGCAGTGTTGATATTCATATCGTTACAGAGGCAAGCGATTTTTGAGACACTCTGTGATGTAGGAAAGAAACACGATGTAGGACCAAATTACTTATTTCTGTTGCTAGGGCACCTACTGTGAATTAAAAGAAAAAACTATTCAACAATTCATTAAACATGTATATAACATTCATAGTGCATAAATATGTGTATACAACATTCATAGTACATAAATATGTGTATACAACATTCATAGTACATAAATATGTGTATACAACATTCATAGTACATAAATATGTGTATACAACATTCATAGTACATAAATATGTGTATATACATATGCCTAACTTGGTTCAAAAGGAGGGGAAAGTGTAAGAAAGAATTAACAACAAAACAAGGCAAGAAATTTTATTTGTCAAATTAATATTCAAAGTGGGATGGTACATGCTCTTCCCACCCCCTAGGTTATGGACAAAGCTACTTGAGGGCTATATGCACTAGCTGTCCCTAATTTAGCAATAAAAGATTAAAGAGAAGTCAGCTAGTCAACACCATCCACCAATGAATAGTGGGATTGACTGTCACAATAAAACATCCCCCCATGACTGAAAGGGCAAGCATGTTTGGTGATGGGGATTCAAACCTGTGATCCGTAGATTGTGAGTCGAGCACTTTAACCACCAAGCCATGCTAGACCACAAATATTTTCATATTCAACAGTTGTTTTAGAAATATAGTGTTCATACAAAATCTGTTCAACAGCAACAATCAAAATATTATTGATGAATTAAATGAGGTATTAAGCTTTACTTGGGATTGGATCCTCAGAAAAGATCATGTAGATTGATTAAAATTGACCAGGAACTATAAATTTATATTAACTTCCAATCAGAGTTAACTACTTCCTTAAATATAATGAGTACAAATATCCATTTTACATAGTTATAGTCATATCTCCGGTTATAGATTTTAAAAGTTTAAGAATTTGTTCTATTTTATTGTACTTAAAATGGTTAGCCTTTTTTAATATGAATTTATTTTTGTTCTCTTCAGTCTTTCTTTGTAAGTTAGCTTCATTTGTAATCTAAACCTTAAGTCAGTGTGACATTGGACAGGAATTGTTTTGCAGACTGAATTTTCTTTGGGCTTGCCATTTTTCTTGATTTCAAAACAACGAAATCAACCAATACAACAGGCAACTCATTATTCGTGTTACTGCGCTGCTTAAATCCACTTTAAAAGAAGAATTGTTTTATAGCCTGTTATTTTGATTGTTATTTTGGTTTGTATTTTCAGAAACTTCCTGTGACTCTGCCAATTCTTCTACGTTTCTTGCTTCTGTGTATTTCAGCCATTGTTGTTGATGTTATTGTCAACCCAATGTTTATTTTTGCTGTTTTCCCTATTGTTGGAGTGTATTACTACTTGCAGCATTTCTTTCGCTTCACTTCTAGGTAATTATGTTAATACGGTTTTAAAATATTTTCTGAAAAGAAAAAAAAATATTTTACAGGCACCAGGACGTAATTTCAGTTATGTAGGAAAACACTCAATTCATTTGCAAGAATTGTAAAACTGTTACCATTTTTTTTTGTTATTTTTTTAAGAACAATTATTCTAAAGTGTGAGCGATCTTCATGTGCATGTGTTTTTGCTCATTTATGAATATCAAAGATAATAGGCTTTAGTAGCTACATATTTTGCAGCTTTAAATAACCCTTGTACTGTCATAAGGAAACTTTTTATCGTAATGAGCTAAGATATTTACCACATGAAGGTGTTCGAGCTTTTAGATCTTGTTTCCTACTTTGTGATCCTTCGTAGGATTCATGATAATCATGAATTGAGTTCAAGAATTTACTTGTTTAAACATCTGTGGACATTTATCGGGTACGTGTAACTGATTTCAAATTTTGAAGGCGGATATATTTAAGCCATACCCTTTTGTTGTGTAAAAAATACAATTTCTTTACATCTAGGAACTTACATTTGTTTCAGGGGTAACAAAGTGTCGTGTAAGCCAAAACAATAGATAATAAAATAATTCAAATGATAGTTGTACCCTAGCTTTTCAGAACAAATGCTATATAAATAATATATATATATATATTTGTTCTTTTTTTTTTTCCAGGGAGTTACAACGGCTTGATAGTGTTACAAAATCTCCTATCTTTTCCCATTTCTCAGAAACACTCAATGGTCTGTCAACAATACGAGCTTTCAGGTGTGTATTTGTTCGTTTCTCTTGCAAAATTATTGTATACACGTAGTCATTGTAATTTCATAAATATTCACATATTTTACGTTGTAAAAGATAACATGAAATAAATCTTTGATTAAATTAAAGTGCATTAGGGTTTTCTATTTGTGGATATGGATAACGTTTAGCATACGATTTAAAATAATTTTACTCAACTTCATCAAAACATTGTATAGTATTATGTTTAATACAGTCTATATCTTGCTTTGTTTTACATCAAACATTATAAAACTATTTACAAATGGAAATTGTACTTCGACTCGGATCCTTTCCAAAAATCTGAGATTTAAACTGCAAATCTATTAGTCACAGAGTTGTTATTCTTAAAGTAATATTTTACAGAATCACACAGTTTCATTGATCTTTTATTGCTATATTAATAATTAAGAGAATAATTAAAATATTGTTTTCTTAAATGTAAATATTTGACATTCAGAGCCTTTAAACAAAGACCTAATCACCATGAACAAAGTTTATTTTTGTGTAAATGTAAAGGTTTGACATTCAGAGCCTTTAAACAAAGACCTAATCACCATGAACAAAGTTTATTTTTGTGTAAATGTAAAGGTTTGACATTCAGAGCCTTTAAACAAAGACCTAATCACCATGAACAAAGTTTGTTTATGATTTTATTTACTTTTACTTCGTTATGTTTTATTGGTAAAGCATTGTAAGTTGTTCATTTCAACAAGCGTATCGTTTCACCTTACACATGTATTTGCTTTGTTTTTTAAAGTTAGATTAACAACAGAAAAAGTACTTGATTATGTTTTAGACTTCTTGCATGGAATTAATATAAAGGTGAGAAAAGGTTTTCAGGCTTTTTTCAAATAAGAATATTTATTTTTGGTTTGTTTAAATGCATTCATTCAGTTGTATTTGTTTTAATTATCTCTGCGTCAATATGTTGACCACAGTATATATATTTATGAAGAATTTTAAACCTCATTTAAATACACATTGTAGTTTTCTTTTACAAGATTGTTTATTATTTCCAATGCTATGTTCCTGAAAGGTGTTATATAGCTTCGTAAGGACTCCAGTACAGGAATTTAAAGTTAGCGAATAATGTGATAAATGTGTGAAAAACATTACTTCTTAATGTGTGAATGTATATGTTGTTTGTTTTTACTGTTGAACAAGAAATATTGTTTAAAAATCTCCAATGAAATATTTGGAATAATTAGTGTATGAAACAGTATAATATATATTTTTATTTAATTCAGTTACATCTAATAAAAATAACATTGTTATTATTTTTATTTTCCTGTTTATATTTTTAGGGATGAAAAGAGGTTTTTTGAAATCTTGACAAACTTCATCAATACAAACAACCTTGCATTCTTAATGGTCAACTGTGCAAACTGCTGGTTGGGAATAGCGCTTGTAAGTAAAACTGGCTATGACCAAATGTGTACAATTTAATTAATGAATTTATTTCATATTAACAATACCAAGTCCAGTAATTCTTATTTTAAAATCAAATTAGAATAAATGATTTACATCCTTATAGATAATTATTTTAGATTATTTTAAAAGGTGTCATTTATTTTTGAAACAACAAGTTAGTGGTTTTCTGTGAATTTCAATCAATAAATTAACATCATTGTCCATCCTTCTTGTTTATCATTCTCTTGTTTTCATTGTGGTTACACTTATTTTCAAACATTCCCAATGACAACTACGTTACTGTTACGTCAACAAAAACCACCGTACCTTGTCTATGGTGTTCATATCTGTAGAAAAACGATTCAAAATTCTGCCTACAGGAGTTGTGTCAAAAAACCTGATTAAGAAACATGTTTTATTATTTGTGTTTTACAACAGCTTTTAAAGTTGAGTCTATTTATTATTAATCAAAACAACTAATAAAACCCAGCTTCGAGGAATTGTACTTACAGTAAAATACATACTCGTTCACAGCTTTGTACAACATAAAACTTTTTCTTTGTTATATGCCTTGATATCAATCTTATAAAAAAATAAAATTTTTTTTCTATATTACAATCTTTTTTAGTTCAGTATTTAGTTTTTCTACACTAATTGAAACTACTTCAGACATTTCCTGATCTGGTTAAAGATTTTCATAGTATTATGAGCTAATTCATCAGCTGTTAGTATACAATTGATAATTTCTTTAGATCTGTTACACAGCTGTATTG